AATCCAGTTTGTAAAGGATGAGAGGCTTATCCAGAGCATTCCCACATACCACCCCCACGCTCTGGAAGCAAAGAGCAAACCAGTACATGCACACAAGACCATCCCAGTGCTCCTAACATGGATTGCAGGATGATGACTTGAACAACATCCAGAAGATACATGAGACATCTGATCAGATTGAGTCCAGGAGGTGTCCTGCCCCATCCAGCTGCAGCAGCCCTGAAATACAAAGGGGGCCTGAGTAATTCTCAGGCTCTGCTTTAGTTTTGGCAGTGGGCTCGTGCAGTGTGGTTGCCCAAATAATTTATTGCTGGCTTTAAAGTGGCAATTAATGGTTAAAACTAGTGCCAGAAAGACTTGTGCATAGTCTGGAGCAGTTATAACTACTGTGCCTGCACATCCCTTGCACAGGCTGATCTACCTGACCCAAGACAGAGGGTGCAGTGGTGTTTTCATATTAACTAAAGCGCAAAAAGCCTCAGTGTGTTCACACTGGTATCACATCCTGCTGGTTTTCCTTGTTTCAGCTGAAGTTATGAAGTGAGGCCAACCAAGGTCACTGGTGTGATGGTCATAAACCCAGTGACTTGGTCAAAGTGATCTACCCAATCAGCAGCAGGACTGGAGCCTGGGATATCCATCCCCAGCAGAGCACATTCTCCCTGGGAAAAACACTTCCATAAACATCCTCAACATTTTTCCAGTTAATGCTTTAGAGTAAAATGTAAAGTTAACTCAAGAGACTTGGAGGAGGAAAAAATTTGGGAGTCCAGGATGGAGTGGGTTCCCCAGTGAGCACTGGGTACTGCAGAAACCAACTGCTAGGATTTGAAGATATTTAAAAATAACTTTTAAATAAAAGCCACCAAACTGCTGTGTCCTTTCCTCCCCCTTGCCCTTTTAGTCCTGCAAATAAAGAAAGCTTTTATGAAAGAAAGGTCAAATCACTCAGAACTTCAGACTGAAAGGACCCAAGATGAGAACTATTTATATTTAGATGGAAGGCTGAAGTGAAGTACATCACTCTCTTCCCTCCTCTTCCTCTCCTGCTCTGCTAGAAAGGTTCTAAGAGAAACCAAATCTTTCACCCCATTTTTATTTATGCAATGCATAGCATTAAAGTGACAGACTAAGATAAGATCCCAAACTTCTCATGTTAGATCTAAACACAGGAAAAGAACTCCACTATGGTCTGCTGAAACTAGGAGCTGGAAAAACACCAGCATAGGAAGGTTACTTCTGAAGGACACAGATTCCTCCAGAGCAGCATTTGCAGTGCCTGGTGTATCTGATGGGAACAACATCTCAGGTAAAAGCCATAGGAGCTGGGGCAGAACTACTGGAAACAATGCCCAGGCTCTAACCTGAAATATCAGTAAAACCCCCTCAGGTCACTTAGAGCAAAAGATGAGTACCTGAAGGGGCTCCAGGAAAGCTGGGAAGGGGCTTTTCACTAGACAGGGCAGTGATAGGACAAGGGGTAATGGTTTTAAACTGAAAGAGGGGAGATCAAGAGAAGAAAGATCAGGAAGAAATTCTTCACTATGAAGGCAGGAAGGCACTGGAACAGGTTGCCCGGGGAGGTTGTGGCTGCCCCATCCGTGGAGGTGTTCAAGGGCAGGTTGGATGAGGCTTGTGCAGCCTGGGTTGGTGGGAGGTGTCCCTGCTCATGCAGGGGGTTGGAACCTGATGATCTTGAAGGTCCCTTCCAACCTTAACCATCCCATGTTTCTGAAGTGAGGAGTCTGTCAGGTCTTTTCACGCCAGAGGAAATTTAAAGAGGTTTAAGTCAACCAAACAGCTCAATAAGATTTGGAGATGTCAGTTCTGTGGGCACAAGGAGCCCTGTTCATCCAGCCCCCCTCTGGGAACTGGTATCAGACAAACTAAGCCCAGTGTGAGCAAAATTCACAACATAAGAACAATAAAAACAATAAGAATCAAGCAAGTGGGTTTTATGGAGACACAAATGTCACCACAGGGAAACCTGGAGTTGGCAGCAGCTGGGCAGGCTCCATCCCTTTCAGAGGGGTTTTCCCTTCAAGTCACTAACTCCCATTGTGCTCAGACACAGATGCTCAACATCAAGGCATCTCCACCCAGGATATATTCTGTCCAATGGCTTGCAGATGAAAAATGAAATGAGAAAGAGATGAGCACTTGTTTAGGTGCTGTGAGATCATGCTGTGATAAAGCCTGAATGATTTCATCTGAACAGCACCTAATTCCAGACCTGTTGCTGTGATTTTACAAGGCAGAGGGAAAGTAATTCAAAACAGGGCAGCATAAAAGGTGCCTTCAGCTAAAATAGACAGAACAAGATGCAAGAAATCCTAATGCCAGACCACTGCAATGCTCTTCAAGTCTTGCAAGCCAGGGTGGAGATGAGGACTTTGGAAACCACGGAGGCTTTACTCCTCACTGTGCTATACACCCTTGGGAAAACCTTTCCTTCCAGACCTCAGTTTTCCCATCTATATAATGGAAAACAAGTACAAAGCCAAGTGCTATCTCTCTGTACAGGGTGATTTTGGACTGTTTCTGATTAAACAGAGAAACAGAACCCAGCACAGGAAGGAGAATGCTGTAAATACAAGGCTCCAATAAAGCTCAGAGAAAGTCTGGAGCCAATTCAACAATCATTGCTGTTTGCTTTCTTTTCACCCCTAAAAACCCTTTACACCAAAGAGGGGGTTTGCTTTTATATTAACACACAATGTTATGAAAGTAAACTTCTCAAATGATTTCCTAGATCCTTTTTCCTCCACTGGGGTAGTATTCTGACAACATTTCTGATTAATCCATTTAGGGCAATTAAGACTGAATGGTAAAGACACAAGAAAAGCTCTGAAAACTGCAAAATCTGCTCAGTTTAAACTAATTCTTTAGCTCAGTTTTCTCCAGCTCCATGATTCAGCAAGTGCTGTAGCCTTTCAAATCAAGCTTCCTGTTTGTAAAAATTGCTGAATAAAGCACATTGCTTTAGGTCATGATAAAACCCAATAGTTCCTTTAAACAACACCATATTTGTCCTCTTGCTTTTCCATTTATTTCTCTCTGGCTGTAGTAACTTGACTCACAAAATCGTTTGGGGCAGTGGGCTAGAGCAAAGGCCAAGGCACCCAAAGAACAACTCGGTGTTTCCAAGTCAAATGTTGAGGCTTCAGAGCTGGTTCATACCCCCACTTACATGGATTACAGAAGCACCTGGAGACTTCAGAGACCTGCACTCTTCTTACACACGCAGGTCAGGCAGCAGAGGCCACTGCTACCTGGTGCATTTGCCTATGCAACACTAAAGACAAAAGGAACAATATTAATACTATCACTGCTTTACATACAAGATACCAGTGCACACCAGCAGCTTGGCTCAAGGTCACAAAGTTTAAAGTAGCTGAGCACTGATCCCAGATGTTTGGAGACTTAGTTCAATGCCTCAGAGATGGAAGGGTCACAAGGGCAATTAAGGCTGGAGGCTGATTAACTCCAAGTCTATTGCCCGGAGGACACCCCAGGCAAGTCAATACACACATCTCGACTATTAAAATCAGTACAACTCCCAGATCCTTGCACTGCTAATACAACCCTCTTTAGGTATTTCCTGCTTATAGATTGGTAATGCAAACAACTCCAAAGCTTCATGCAAGAGTTTGGATTTAGAATGTGCACTGGAAGGTTCCTGTCGCTGAGAAAGGCAGCACTGTGTCCGTCACACCAGCTGGATGGGGCAGGGCTCCAGGACGCTGCCACCCTTCTTCTCACGTGCCTCCCCCACCAGAAAACAACAGCCTGTCCAAAAATAAACTTCTGATACAAAGCTGAGGGAGATTAAAGCAGAGTATTCCTGGGACAGGGGAGAATATGGCTAGATCCCAAGGAATGTTTTCTCGGCCCCTCTTGGCAGGCGTCAGGAAAGAGCACGGAGAGCAGCAGATTCCAGCTCTTGGAGAAGCTGCAAAGGGAGCCAAAGTGGTGATCTGTGTCTTCTGCACACAACTTCTTTGTCCAGATTCTTCTTTGCTATCAAGCTAGCAGTCAATTGGGATGGTTGCTCCCACCCAAAGCTTCTTGGCTGCCTTCTTCCTTGACCCTAACTACTTCTTCCATACCATCGTCCTCTTACACCTTCCACGTCCCTCTTTTCTCTCCGTTCAGCAGATGCCTTCCAATCTCCACTGTCCCCCCAATAACAACCCAAGAACACAGGATCTCTGCATCTGCCTGGTCTGTTCTGCTCGGGCCTGAGGTCTCTGTACAGCACCTAGCTCAAGAGGAGCTGCATTCTGACTGCTGCTTTCAGCTCAGTCTTCACCACCTGACAAAACACACACTTTCTGCCTTTGTTAGTATTCTGCACAAACTGCAGCAGAGTTAGCTCTAAAAGCACAACACTTAAGAGGCTGGCATTGTCCTTTTGCAGCTGCAGCACCCTATCAGTAACAAAAACTAATTCAGACATACTTCAGAAAATGTGGGTGGCCATTTAATGTAAAGGATAATTACAGAATGCTTTGCAGAAAACTCTGGCATTTTAAATGCACCCAGAAGTCTCACTTCACATTCCAGTCCTACACAGGAAGCACATGCTGTATTAAAGTTCTCCCACTGTCATTACTGCCTCCATTTTTCTTCTGGAAAAAAAATATATAAACCAGTAATTTACATTTAGCACTTCCAACATGATGATGTTGCCAAACATTTTACAAACAAAGAGTCATTACCTTCTACCTGATGTAGGAGAACTCTGCTAAAGGCCAAGGGTGCACAACTGGAGATGGGGGTTTTGTTGGATTTGAGTTTGGTTGTCAGGATTTGTTTGGGGTTTTTTGCAAAAATTCAGAACAAAATGATCTCTTGCCTGACAAAGCTGAAATGCAACTTCATATTCTTAAATGAAAGGGAAGAAGCTGAATGATCTGAGCTAACACTGCACATGGTTCCCAAGTGCCTCCAGACCTGGGAAAAACACATGCAAGAAGTGTCAAGCAGGGATGCTACCCATGGATCATCCAGCCCACAAGGCCTCAGGAGAGCTGAAGATCAACCAGCTCTTCACACTGAAAGAACCAGAGAAGTCAGAGCAGAGGGTATTCCCAAAGCTGTCAGAAGTGGGGAGGAATCCTTCAGGCTGCAAAGCAAGAGGTTACATTGATGGATCTTGACGGTAAAAGGGATCGGAAAAGGATTACAGAGCTGGAATGATGATGGGTAAATTAAAGAGCAGATCTGTCAGCCCTGGGACCACAGACACTGTGGGCAGACAGCTCAGAGGGAGCCACACTGATAATCTTAAACTGGTTATGAGATGTTACCATCCACCCTTCTGCCTGTTGGAACTCACCAGCTCCTCACCATTGTGCTTTAAAATAACAAATCTAAAACAAGATAAAAAGAGGGACTGCTGACCCCCCCCCAAAGAACTGACACACACTGGGGAGTACAGCACTGTCCAGCTGCTAGTGCCAGCACAAATTTACATGCTGCTTTTAATACCTCTCTCTTCCAGAAAGCACCTCTGATAGGTGAAAAATCACCACTGAAATGCTATTAGTTCTGGGCTGCAAAGCAGCAATTTGCCTGGCAGTTAACACACAGGAGCAGGAAAGCAACACCTATAAGGAAAGAACAATGGGATCATAAACATCTGTGCAAAGCATCCAGTTTTCAAACATGAAAAGAACCAAACTGCCAGAGCAGACAAATTGATTCTCCTGGGATTTGAACACACCATTCCAGGAAATCTGGATACTTGAGACATGATGCATAGGTTAAGGGAAAAGTGAAGGGGCAGATGCATTAAACGTGCAGCCACTTAAGAGACTATTGAACCCAGACACAGAAGATTGGGAAGCATCATTCCTGAAGGGACAAAGCATGCAAATTCCAGGCTGCTTCCACAAGGAAAGCAGCATCTGCAGGAAGGACACTGGTAAGGTGGGGGTGACTGGCTTCTCTGCACACCAGAAGCCTCAGTCTTGCAGCTCTGGCATTAATGCTGTGTCAGCCCATGCAAAGCGGGACTAAACAGCAGAGGGAACAAAACTATCTCAGAGGTTCACAGGGCAGCCACACAAGATCTTACTGTCTGTTTTTCCACACTGCTGGAACATACCTTCTTTCCTTACAGAAATGTAGGCTTACACCAGACAGAGCTGAGCCAGGCAGTCAATCTATCAAGGAACGACAATTGTGTTTCCAATTAGAGCAAACAGGTGAAGACATGCAGAGTGTACATTGCAAAGGAGGACTCTGTGCCTGCTTGGAGGTGCTTTCCCCACTTTAATTACAGGCAGCTCTTTCCAGAAAATTCCTTTCAAGCACATGGAAAGGAATCCAGTTTCCTGACACACACTGGGGAGTACAGCACTGTCCAGCTGCTAGTGCCAGCACAAATTTACATGCTGCTTTTAATACCTCTCTCTTCCAGAAAGCACCTCTGATAGGTGAAAAATCACCACTGAAATGCTATTAGTTCTGGGCTGCAAAGCAGCAATTTGCCTGGCAGTTAACACACAGGAGCAGGAAAGCAACACCTATAAGGAAAGAACAATGGGATCATAAACATCTGTGCAAAGCATCCAGTTTTCAAACATGAAAAGAACCAAACTGCCAGAGCAGACAAATTGATTCTCCTGGGATTTGAACACACCATTCCAGGAAATCTGGATACTTGAGACATGATGCATAGGTTAAGGGAAAAGTGAAGGGGCAGATGCATTAAACGTGCAGCCACTTAAGAGACTATTGAACCCAGACACAGAAGATTGGGAAGCATCATTCCTGAAGGGACAAAGCATGCAAATTCCAGGCTGCTTCCACAAGGAAAGCAGCATCTGCAGGAAGGACACTGGTAAGGTGGGGGTGACTGGCTTCTCTGCACACCAGAAGCCTCAGTCTTGCAGCTCTGGCATTAATGCTGTGTCAGCCCATGCAAAGCGGGACTAAACAGCAGAGGGAACAAAACTATCTCAGAGGTTCACAGGGCAGCCACACAAGATCTTACTGTCTGTTTTTCCACACTGCTGGAACATACCTTCTTTCCTTACAGAAATGTAGGCTTACACCAGACAGAGCTGAGCCAGGCAGTCAATCTATCAAGGAACGACAATTGTGTTTCCAATTAGAGCAAACAGGTGAAGACATGCAGAGTGTACATTGCAAAGGAGGACTCTGTGCCTGCTTGGAGGTGCTTTCCCCACTTTAATTACAGGCAGCTCTTTCCAGAAAATTCCTTTCAAGCACATGGAAAGGAATCCAGTTTCCTTTTCCCAGTGCATGCATTTCCTTGCACAAATACCTAACAAATCTTGAACACGAAACATGGTGGCAGCCTGCTGAAAATAGAGAAAATCTCCTTGAACAGGTAGTGTCCTCACCTAAAAGCCACTTCCAGATTTATGGACATGTTCATAGGCAGAACTTGTTTATTTTGCAGCTGCACTTGTGTACCAAGTGAGTTTTACAGGAGTAACAAGTGTCCTCAACAGCTGTATCCACAAAACTCCCTTTAATTCCCACATAGGGGTCTGTTTGCAGACAACCAACAGCTCACCATGGCAAGGGTGCAAGTATCAACTCCCACTTCCCTGGGGACTTTGTTTCAACAGATTCTAGATCAAGTTTAGATCAGGATCTCAGTGAAGAAATACTCAACAGCATCAGCAAACCTTAATTACACATCTGCAATTTTTAATAGAAACCATCACACCAGAACTTCCTGGCACCCAAGTTTTGAAGAGGGGCAGTTAAGTGAGAGTATGAGACTACAAGTTCATCATCACATCAAGCAGGAAAATCCATGGATATTTACACAAATCAGAGAGGAAAGCAAACCTCCCATCTCAACTAGTTCTCTGGTAGGAAAAAGAGTGTGGCTGGAAGAAGAAACCCCAGCACAGCTCTGCTATGTTACAGTAACAGAAAAACTGGGGGTGAGTTTTTACTAGAGTGACTTTTTGATCTCCTCCATGCATCTGGATTGCTTTCCCTTCAAAATTTTGGCCAACAGAAGGAGGTTTGGCCCATGAGAAAAACAGAACTTCCTCTAGAGCCAAGCTGTCCCACCACCCAGCACATTCCAGCCATGGGATGCAAAGCTGAAGTTCCTCCAAGAGAGGAGAATCCATGTGCTTGGAAGGGGTGATGCTGGGAATGTGCCTTTGACAAACACAGCAGAGGAGAAAAACCACGTGCACAGGGGGTATCACTGAGTCCTGGAGCAGCCAGCATGGACATTCAGCTCCAAACACACACAGCAGCATCCATCTGCACTGAGGCTATTGGGGGATTTTGGCCACCATCCCACTTGGTTCCTTTCCCCTCGCTCTCCAGGGACTCCTTCACTCACCACACAAGCAGGAAGGAGGTTCTGCTGCTATTTAATTGGTATCTGCACCTCCCCCAAACCACTACACACATCCTACACATCAACTTGCTAATAACATCCAGTCACTTGGAGGAGAGGCTTAAAAGCATTTTTTCTAAAACTCTCCTGGGCTTTTTTTTTTAATCCAAAGTGAAACAGGTTATTCCAGCAAACAAGTGACTCTTCAATGCCCACCATTCCACTGAAATCCTGCATATTTCCAGCCCTGGGTGACATCTAACCCACTGCAAAAAGAATCCAAAGACATTAATTTCAATGCACCAGGAGGAGTAAGGCACATGCTTTCTCACCTGTGGGAATTCCAGGACTTCCAAATTACTTTCTCCTAGGTTTAACAGGCTGATATGTAGACAACACACTGAACCACTCAAAGAGTGAAACAGCAGCTTACCGGGTTGTCTGGCATCACATTTAAGGCTCAGGTTTCTCCCCATCCTTCCCTGCAGCAGAGTATTTTGCATATTACTTAGAGTGCTAAACTGAGACCAAATCTACAGGACAGATTAAAAGACTCAATCCTACTGCACTAAATGAAATACTTGTCGAAGGGATGTGTTAATACCTGCAGTGAAGAGAGGGCTGCTGGTAAGCACAACTGAAAAAGGCAGCTACTGGGGGACACTGATACCATGTGAAGTCTGAGCAACAGACCTTTGGCCATCTCACCTCAGGTGCACCTTCCTTTTCCAGCATCAGGACCAAGAAGCTTCAAGCCACTCTGACCTAAAAGCCCCAGGGCTTGTTCTTTAGCACTTGCCAGTTATTTGGCAATGCCAACCCTGCATCTGCACTGCACAGAAGTTACAGCTAAACATTAAGAGGATGGAGCCCAACACCTTCTCTGTACCTCACTAGATAAACTAGAGGCAAAGACAGCTTAACAAGGTAAATTTTCCTCAAAGTCACAGGATCATGAGCACAAACACGTGATGCCAGAAAAGATGGAGAAAAGCAGGGACCTTAGTAAGGGCAGGACATGTGAAAATGACCCAAATGACATTGCACAACACCACAACCCAGTTCGAGAGCTACCAGAGCTCAGGCTCCATGATCAGGTATCCAGCAGCAAAGGCAGAGCTGCTTACAATAGATCTGGGTGAAAATGCTCTGATTTCTGGCTTACACAGTGGCAGTCAGAGACTGCACAGTACAAGGCCCCAAGGCTCCCAGCCCTCAAGCACTTCAACTTTGCCAGCTCGTTTTCAGTGTGAAGCAATAGTTATGAACAAAGACAGCAGACAGCTCCAGCCTCATTGCCCAACACCCACCCACAGCCCAGCCAAGGTTAACAGCATGCTGTGACAAAGTCACCACTGCAACCAGTGGAGCAACACCATGCAGCAACTGAGCCTCTCATCAGCCAAACTGTTCCTTCCTTTGATGAACAGAGCAGAACCACTCATGACTGAGATGCAGCGACTGGCTGAGGAAGCAGAAGGAAACCTGCACGAGTTTCCAAACTGACATCAACCCTGTGAAGGATCAGCTGAACAACTGCGAAAGGCAGCAGGTAAGCACATCTAGCTCTCTCAGAACCAGTCTACCTACTCCCAGTCATTTCCAGGAGGAGGTTTTTTCAGATTGGCATGAGAACCACAACAACCAGATGTTTAACCTCTGGGCTTGCAGGCTCACACTAGAAAGGAACAAGATAGAGTTGGCATCACTAATAGAAAAGCATCCATCCAAGCTAAAATTCCC